GGAATAGCAGTGTTAAAGCCAAAACAACAAGAGATGCAAATCAAACACCAAGACATTCTGTTGCTCAAATTCCATATTTAGACGGCTGGTTTTATGCATTCTGGTCAGTGTCCAAACTGGTCACATATAAAAAAAAAAATTTAATTTCAAATAGTCCCCAAATTTTTTTTATTTATTTTCTAATTATGTTCTACATTTGTTTTTTGCACTCTCACTTTTATTCAAGACTTTGCTTTCTTTCCATCCGAAACCATAACAAATTGATACATTGTACAAAATGCGTTAGAAAGCCTGCTCTCACACAATCACTATTCATGTATTTTATTTACTTATTGCACAACACTGATGCTCACATAACAAATACAAGCCATAATTTGATTCTGTATGGACTTTCTTTGTTAAAGAATGCAGTGTGACAGTTATTATTGACGTCCCCAGCTGTTAAATGCAGCAGTAAACTGACAAATCAGGACTCATGCACTAACATTAAGGTTAAAAGTGCATAGCAATAAGCATAACTTCTGTATCAGAACAAATATTGACTTGTTCATATGTTTGACTGGCAGAGACACTCAGTGATCAGGCTATAATAACAGATGGTGCTGTAACAGAGAGAGAAAGGGGGGGTGGGGGGTTGCTGGAGAGAGTTGATGTGTGAGCTATTTCAGGAATGCCGGAGAGGAAACGTATTGATCGGGACACTTAGACTTGATAAGGACGTCAGGTTTAAGAGGAGCAAGGTAATCATTAAGTACACCACTGGCCGCTGTTGTTCAAAAAATATATTTGCTGCTTCGCCTCTCTTCCCTCCCCCTTCTCTTTTCTTTTTTCCACTTTATTTGGCTCTTTCTTGCCAGAGGTGAAACGAAAATCTCATCTCCATCAGGCTAAATTGTGGTGGGCAGCATTATCAGTTCAAAAGACCTGGGGATTTGACAGCTCCCACTCCATGGTGATTAATTACTTCTCGACTGTGGTGGGCCCTTCTCTCCCCTCTCTCTCTGCCTGCTGCTGCAGTTGTGGTGGTGGTGGCTGGAGGCAACACATGATAAGTGCTGCCCTTATTACTGGTCTCACTGGGAAAAGGCCTAGGCAGCACTGGGCTAACGCAAGCCAATCACACACCGTGCGCCACATGGGGCCGGGAGAGCTTGCAAGATACATGCCCTTTGTTTACTCTTTAGTGCGTAATAGAAAGGTAGAGTGCTGCCAACTCTGTTTGAGATGTTGGGTTAAATAACCTCCTCTGCTCTTCAATCTCTCTTTCCATCTATCCCTCACTCTCTCCCTCCCTCCAGGGTTATAAGGGGTTTTGATCTCTTCTTTAATCACTGCACCAGACTGGATGGGAACTACAGACTGTAGAGCTCTCTATTATCATCAGCCAAGGGGAAGAAGGACACTCCTCATCACATGTCTGATGGACAGAATTAATCACTTATGGACATCATACAGGAGAAGCCATCTATTATAACCAGTGTAATCACACAGGGGAAGTAGCTTCAATCAACCAAAAGAGACCTCAATATAGTTAAGCACTTAGCTGTGTACATATTTGTATTACAAGCCTGTGGCAGCCTTTTCCACTGTTATTTGCATTCTGTGGTTCTCAAGGTTCTGCACACAGCTGGTCCTTGAGCTTCATGTCTCCCTGTAGGCTCCACTCTTTGGCTTGTGTGTATGAGTGGCACATTCCCTGAGGCTGTGCCTGTGTGTCTGTGTGTGTGTGTGTGTGTGTGTGTGTGTGTGTGTGTGTGTGTGTGTCTGTGTGTGTGTGTGTGTCTGTGCATGTGTTTTTGTGTATGTTTCTGCATATGTGTTTCTGTGTGTGAGTGTGAGTGTGTGTGTGTGTGTGTGTGTGTGTGTGTGTGTGTGTGTGTGTGTGTGTGTGTGTTTTAAATAAGCCTACATTGGAAAGCTTCATTATTGGACCTGTCAGTGCTGTAAGTCTCCCCGAAGGCAACGAGGTGGAGATGAGAGACAGAAAGACACACGGTAGGGCACCGTGCACACACGCCTGTCACACGGCTGTCCCCAACGGTGGGCATACAGGCCATTATGATGTCTTCCAGATGGACACATCTGTCTGTTTCCCTGGGAACAAATCTGCTAAAAGCGGGGCGAGAGTCACGAACAAGCCCTCTCTGGTGGAGTTTTATTTGTTTATATCTGCCATAGCAGGCTGTCTGAATGTCATGATGTATGGCGTGAGGAGACACCTCCGGAGACACCTCTAGAGCTACGTTAGATCCCTCAGATAACACGTGTTAAGATGTCAATATTGTCTTAGAACTCAATGTTCTCCTCTGTCCCTCTACATCATTATTAGAATGGCAATATATTTGATTTCTATTGTGGAGAGGGGTCTATTTTTATCCAACTGTATAGGCTTATGCTCCAGAACAAATGTTTTTTTGACTGGCTGTAACTTGTCACATAGATTATTGGACCTCCATTTGTCCCTCCTCTCTCTTCCAGTGGGGGCAGAAAGGATGAGTGTTGTCATTACAGACAAGCAAGCAAGGTGAACCTTTCCTAGATTGGGGACCTTTTCCTGGTACGCAGAATCAGAACAACCCCTCGCTGCACCTCCCTATAATCCCTGGCATTTTGTTTTGATGCTCCACAGCATGAAAATGAGGGAATATGGCAATGTTATGGCATTTGAAGTCAATATGTATTATAAAATCAATCTAGATGAAGATCTGCCCATCCCTCTAATTAGACGGGGTGACTGGAGATTGATTTTTAATTGCAAAAGTAATTACATGGAGCAGATAGCCAGTGACATTTGATTATCTAGGTGATTGATTAAAAGGCCTGGCTGCTGGGGCAGACTGTCAGCCAGCTGAATCCAGACAAAAGAGAAAATTAAAAAAGTTGTCCCGTTTGTAATCACGAATTTCAAGGGTGAAATTACAAAGCCAAACATCCCCTTGGAGAAGCCCAGCATCCTTCCACTTTGCGCCTGTCTGCCCTCCTATCTCACCCCCGCCGTCACAACACCCACAACGCAAGACCCCGGTGACACGCTAAAAAGGGGGAAACAATGATGTGAAAAATGAATTGAGGAATTGTTCTGTTACAGACAGCCTGGTGTGTAAATGATGGGTGCGTATATCTGCTTAGCAGCCCTGTCACATCATCATAGGAAAGAGAGGGAGAGGTACAGACAGACAGAAAGAGGGACAGAGAAACAGAGTAAAGGAAACCTCTTATCTCTCAGACTGCTTCTTCACTCATCTTCATCTCTTGTCATCTCCCTGCAATAGGGGCCTGCACTGTTGCCTGTCGACCGGTAAGGGAGTGAGACTAAATAAACAGGAGAATAACATCTTTTTTTCTCTGTGTGTTTGGGAAAGCCATGAAGAAATCCTTTTTCATGTTGTCTTTTTCTTCTCCTCCTCATCTGTCATTCTTGTGGGATCCCTCTCTTGGAAAATGAACGATGACAAGGTAAACCATTGGGGGGACAGCTGAGCTGTTTATGAGACTGACAAAAACTGTTTATGTGGCTGTGATGGACAGGGCTGAGTGATGACAGTTGGAAATGAAATACATTCTTCATGTCTACCTGCTGCATTCAAGTTAGACTATATATCACCTGGTGGGTACTGTACTTTACAGTCTTATGAATGCATATTTGTTTTGTTTTTTTATCTTGGTTTATCTCTAGTTTGCTAACAGAAGTCATTGTTAGTTTCTGGTTGAGCAACAAAATAATAAAATAATCTCACGTAATAGCTAATATCATCCTGTTTAGCCACACTTGTTGATAAGCCCCCACGGCCACACACACAAAATCTCATACACAGAGCAACATGTTCTCAGTCCTCATAACCAGAAGATCCATTTATTTCTCACCGTAGGACGTGCCTATAAATTATGCCTGGTTAAGGTATCATTTAGCCTGGACTGTTAAGCCACTCCTGTCATTTTAGTGGAAGGTTCACTCTTTGCGCTTTCCATGAAGGCAACATTTATGTCTTTAATTTACAGCTCCTTGCCTGGAGGATACTCCTTGGCTTTATGAAGTGGTATTAGGGGGCTATTTAGTTGTCATGGCAGAGCACTGCTCAGTGTGGTGCAGCCAGCAGAAGCCAGCCCATGAAAAAGGAGAGACGAGGGAGCAAAGGCAGCGATTTCAAATGAGAATCGCTGTCCTTTTAACTCAAAGAGCTCTGTAGCCTGGCAGGAGCAGCTGAGCAGGGTCTTTGAAGGGAAAGAGAGAGAGAGAGAGGGAGGGGAGGGGAAATGAAACAGGCCCGGGCCAGCCCCACATATTATTCCCCCTCAGGATGTACAGAGTCTATATTGGCTGAAGCAGCACGGCCCCTAGGGTCACAGCTCCTTCTCCTCCTCATAGAGCTGCAGCACTAAGAGGGACTTTCCTCTGTCTGCCTCAGAAACAGGCTGGCGAGTGTCTGCGGGTAAACCATCACACATGTGCCTCCCAGCACCAGGCCTGGGCTCTGCGGGTGAACACAAAGCAGCGGCACTTATTAAATTTCCATGAAGTTTACCGAATTTGCGGGATCAGTGGGGTGAGGCCTTTAGGGAACCCATGCCACAGCCTGCAGCTTCCCTCTGCCACTGAAGCCCAGTGTGGTTGTGGGCCTCACCCTCCCTCTCCATCTCCACCTTCCGCCTGTGTCTCTCCTCCCTAGCTAGCCTAACATTGGAGGAGGATTTCTACAGGCTTGGGCTTGCACCCTGCAGAACTTGCTGCCCACATCCTACAGGGGCCCCAGAGGGCATGGTTGTAGCAGGTGGAAAATAACGGTATAAAAGCAAATAGACACATGGCTGCTGATTTGCTGTGCATCCATAAATTATATTTACACAAAAGATAAGAACAAACATATACTACGCATGCACAGAGTTATAGTCAAAATGGTCTTGGTGCTTTATAGTAACAAGACTGAAAATAATAAAAAATATTGTTCAGAGAATGTATTTTACTTTATCCAGTAAGAAATGGAAGGCACGTAATAACAAACCCCAGAAATGTTGGTAGAGAATCCCCTGCATGTCATGGGTAGTAAATGCTCACAGCGGGCCATTCATCAGGGCCAGGACTCTTCCAGATGTGGAACAAGTTAGTGAAGAAGATCACCTGGGTAAGCAGAGAGAGACTGTACATATGGATAAGGTTTGGTTAGTTATGTTCTAAGTTCAGAGAGGCCAACTTGTAAAATTGTCAAGTATGTAAGTTAACTTGTATGCACTGTCTATTTGAATGTACGCTATAAAGGTCATTTTTAGCGTGATGTTTAACGTTTAGTTTACTTTTTTTTTAATTGAGACAGAGCTTTGTGTGTTTCACATTTGGATACAATTGAGTTGCATTTCCCAAGTGTCGACTGAAAGTCTCCATTTTCTTCATGGTTGACAGTAGTGGGTCAACACTCTTCACTTAGCCGACCACAGCACTGTGCCTTATGATTACAATGTGCTTTGTCCATCTCCACAGCAAATGATTGGACTTTACTCACTCCACTCTCATTCTGTCTATTATTAAATCCCAAAATGAAATTTTCTTAAAACAAGAACTAAAATTCCCACAGAATTATTCCACATTTCCTATGCTAATCGACTTGTCTAAGAAAATTCTCTTTTGTCTCTCTGACACTCATGTCTAGACACTGAGTAAACAAAACTGCAGAGTGGAATTATTTCAATCCATTAGTAAAATTGTTATTTTGAACTGTCTTGGGAAATGAGTATTGAGGGCTGAATATGAAACCAAATAAGTTCTTAAGATTGAAGTCCCCCTGCACTCGAAATATGTTTTTCTTCTTGTTCCTACAATTGAATGTTTGAGCTTCTGATTTTAAGGGGCGGGCCTGTGAGCATAATTTGTGACATCACAAATAGTTTGGAAGTCAATCCTGGTCCAGTATGCAACATATATAAGTGTGATGTAATTTTTGATGAGGTGTAAGGAGTAGAAGTCTTTTTTAAGGATTTTAATGTGGAACCTTTGTGAAAAAAAAACCAAAAATCTTATTTTATGTAGCTTAATACATGTTTGGAGGAGATCTTTAAGTTTTTGTTTTTATTACACTTTGCTGCTTTAAAGATAGCTATTATTCTGTGAGCACACTTTCGCACCCATACACAGTTGCTTGTAGATTTGTCATTTTGAATTGACATAGGACAGTTAGTGCAACCACCTTTAAGTCGACAATTATTGAATAATTTAATGGAAAATTATATTCAGTAATATTCATATGTGCTTTTAATCAATGCCATGCAATTACATCATTTTAATTAGACTGTTTGTATTGGATAATTCATTATAAGTATGATAAATTCCAGTTTATGCAATATAAATGCAAATGAATGTCAAGCAAGGCAATTCTCAAAATGCAAATGCAAAACAAACCTCTCCTAGGTATATACAATCTAAAAAATGTTTTCCCTAGTTTTTAGATAGATGACAACTGTGCGTATTACTCATGCGACAGACAACTCAGGTTTAACAAACGAGACTGTATGCAGTGAGGATGTGGTCAATGCAGAGTCAGCTGCAGACGGTCAATTACGGCAAGTGGCAGCCATATACAAATACTTTGCTTGTGTGTGCATAAATAACAGTTTATTCCCATGTTGTTGTGTCTTTTATGTCCTAGTCTAAACCAAGACCAAATACCTAGGTTCTGTTGCCGTTTAGGGGACAGCCTCTGTGTGATTCAGCACACTGCTTTGACCCTGCAATGAAAAGATATACACAGACAGCCATTCTATGATTGCACGTCAGGAAAAAAACAGGCCACAACATTTTCCAGGTGCAGATCAGCGTTGAACTGTGGACATCATTGTAGGTTAAACAAGGCTGTGTTTATTCAACCAACATCTTTCATCATTCTCACACAGGAATTTTAGTCACAACCATTGTCTGGTTCTCTATGCGCTTTTGCAGGTAATGAAAAATTACTAGTTGGGATGAGGTTAGAGAAGAAAAACAATTCCTCATCGTGTAACTAGCATATTTTCTAGCTATCCCGTGTGTGAAAGGGCAATCTTTTGAAAAGAGGACAAATGTAGAGTCAGTTGTGACCTTAAAGAGCGCATGGGCCCAGGCTGTTAGATCTAGATGGAGATGAGGTGTACAAGAGTGTCCCATTAGCTCTACGTTTTCACTGCTCTTCCTCTATGGGTGATGCTGGCCATACTCCAAAAGGACTATGTTTCGATCCCAGGGCCTGATAAAGTCTGGCCCGTGGATGGGCCTGATGACATCTGCACTGTCCGTCTGTGCTCCCAGACAAATGCAACCCAGGAAGGTTAGTGCTGGCCCTTCTGCCTCTTATCAATCAATTACATTTAGCTTTGTCAAATTAATTGTATGGAATTGTTTGCTGCAGATAGGAACCAGGTAGATTCTGGATGGGGGTTGGGCAGGATGCCTGTGTGATTGTTGGTGCATTGTTATTGTGTGCCCTTTTCTACCCTTGCTTCTTTGTAGCTATGCCTCTGTTTGTACCTCTAAACTATGGTTTTGGACAAAAATGTATACTTTCATATAAAAGTAGATTTTGAGAGTAGTTTTAACAAAGCTAGCTGGTTTGTGTCCACAAAGATGGCACACTTTGAATATAGATATTTAACTTCTGGGTGAGGGAGTCAGTCCCATGCCAGTGAATGCACCCCTCTACCTTCTTTGGTTATAAAAGCGGGATTAATTACGTAATGTTCAGCTCACTGTGGCTAATAGCTGATAATGATGTGTGAGAGGTGTGTCAGACGGGGGAGCATACTGGACTGCCAAGTGCTGTTGGACCCAGGTCAGGCTGCGTTCATCTTACTAATGAGATGTCACACGGAGAAGATGGAGCGACCAGAGCGACCAAGCGGTCATTGCAAACTAATTCCCCTCCAGCTTTGGATTGTACAAACACCCTAAATTCAGAGAGGAGCTTGCATGGCCTGCCAACTGACCACATTACTCTGAGGGTTCATTTTTCAGAGGGATATTTGGCTGTGGGGAGACAGCTAGGTCCGGTTTCACCCAGCAGCTGCGCCATTTGTAGTCCAGAGAAGCTAACGGTGGGCCTGTGGTCCTTATTGGTCTGCTGAGTGGAGCCAGTGATCCAGTCTCCCATTTAGTCTTTAGCTCCACTCTGAGGAGATGAGTTGAGGTTAAATCAACGCTTGTCTCCTCCTTCTGAACATCTAAATCTGCAGTGGAGAGAAGTGAGATATGCTCCTCCCTTCATCCACCCCCTCGGGCTAGCCTTGCTTCTCTTAAGTTCTCTGCTGCATTGCCAGTGGGTCAGGTTGATCCCCCCGTCATTGAAACTCATTCGGGGGGCATTAAAGTGTAAACCAGATGAAAAAACAAAGGGCTTAGGCAAATCAGATGGCTCAAACAACAACAACAAACGCACACTCTGTAATCTGCTTAGGGAAATTAATGAGGGGGAGCCCCCTTGGCCAAGGTGGATAATGATCCTGGACCACGGGGATGAGAGGCTGCAGTGGATCAGGCAGAAGGTGAGAACTGGAAGGGGGGATTAGAGACGGACTCCCACCAGAATCAAACAGGACTCTGCCAAAGGGATCCCTCCCCTCCTATGCCCAAACTTCAAAAACTCCAGCCTAAGCTGGAAGTAGGTGTCTGTAATCCCCTCTGTGGCTGTAGATCTATGCGGCCGACTCAGGCCCAGCTTTCATCCTGCAGCTTGTTCGGCATGCTCTCCCTCCATGTCCTGGGAACGTAAACTTTTGCACTGTGGCCCCCGTGCAGATCGCAGGGATCTGCTGGCTCATTACCTCTTCATTAGCGTGCTGCATCGTTGGCTGCCAAGAGGATCAGACCATGCGTGGAGTCTAGCTGCACAGACTGCTTGTGGGGGCCAGAGACCTGGACACGGCAGCCAGATGGACGGATGCATGCTACTGGAAACGCAAGTTAGCAGCCTATAGATCTTTGCGCTGTTGGAAGGCTCCATGTAGCCAGCGAACACATTTTAAAGGACCCATTTGTCCTTAGCAGTGTTACTTCAATACATCCCCAGAAAAATATACTGTGATTGTCATTATACCTGTCCATTGCTCCTGCATGGTTGTCCAATCTGATCATCTGAAAGGAATGGAAGGATATTTCTTATATGTATATATACATACTCTTATTTATTAGGTTCTCAGAATTAGTGTCAAAACTGTCACTTACATCCTCTGGGTATGTTTTGAGATACCTTTGAAATGTGATGCCAGATGCCACTCGGAGTTTTGGTTTTATCTGCCTCTGCTTTTCTTTCTTACAATTCATAGAATGCAGGATGATTTAAAGGAAGGTGTGGAATTGAGAAAATAAGCAGGCTTTGTAGTACTTAATGGGGCCCAAAGCTCACTGTTTAAGCCCTCCCCTGCATCCAAAGCAGCCACAGTCAGGAGCCAAGCTCCATGAAGCCAAGTCTCATCAACCACTCTGCCATCCTCTGGTGTGATAGTGGCAATACATACACACACATTACCAGAAACCTGCATTCAAAATTATTAAACAGGTATGCAAGGGCATTGCAAAATTGATCATAGTTAATGAAATATAATCTTGGCTCTCTCTACCAGAATTGTAGGGTTGTCACAGAAAAATTAAACAATAACACATTATGTAAATGTAAAACATTTTTTTGTTGTCAAAAACAGTCAGATTAATGCAATTTGATTTGATTGACAGCTGACCTCCAACATATTGTTCTCCAGTTTTCTATTACTCTAACATGGTCAAATCAAATAATCATTTGCAACAAATCTTTGACCCTGACCTGACTAAAGTTGCTTGGATAGCTGGAGTATAAATCTGTGAGAAATAATACTTAAATCGCTTCAAGTTTGTCCATAACCTGACTTTTCCCTGTTGTCGCCTTCCTCTTACTTTGCTGCTGGTGTGATCCCTGCATCTAAATTATGCAGTTCCTTATCTGACAGTCATTTCCAAGGCCATGCATGCAGTGTGGCCCCATGTGGTTATGGCCAGGTGTAAAAGCTTGACCTCTCTGTAGGGCAGCAGAGTGACTTTCATTAGAGCACCCACTGGCTGCTTCCCACTGAGCGCACTCATAGATTTAGCACTGAGCCTGCACACAAGATGAGAGGGAGAGTTAACATAATCCAATAAGAAAC